TGGAGAAACTGTGTCCTTATTAACTTTTAATAGTTGCTCTTCTCTTCATTGATTTCATTTTTAGTGAACTTTTTTCAGTTACATAAAGCTGGGAGAAAGCAAGGCAAAACCCCTCTAACTTCTTTGCTGTAATTAAAATCAATGTCTCACTGGCTGAATTAAACCAGGAAGTAGACAGGATGCCTCTTTCCCGTTTTGGATTTTGGAGATCTGGTCTTGGCAGTTACCCTTTAGATGTCTGATGTTTTCTGATAACATCCAAGAGGGGATTGGAGTCTGGTTTTAGGGGAAAACATCTTCAGATTAGCGTTTGTTGAAGGCTCCATACCCTTGAGTGGAGACCAGAGTTTATTTATGGACTTAGCGATATGATCCAAAGTGACATGTTTGAACATTGTGCCACAGCCGCTGCCAAAGAGCCTCCTGGCGTGGCCTGTGGCTCCCCCTGATGGCACTGAATTTCCACCCTGTCAGGAAGTGTTAGCGAGAACCCTTCCTCCCTCTCCCAGAGGCTGCCTGGGCATCCGTGCGAGTCAGCAGAAGGGACCCACGGACAGTCATCCCGTGACAGCTCAGCCTTGTGAAGGACAGCCAGGATGCTGCTCCGAGGCAGCTGGTAGAAATGGGGTCGGTGTTCTTTTGTAGGCAGTCATCCACTTAATCACCCAAACAAGTTTTGGCTCTGGCTTTGCCGTTAAGGTGCTGTGTGATCAGTGGTGTGTGGCTTAATCGAGGTCAGATTTGGGCTTCAGCCTCTCCAGATGATGGGCAAGTGCCTTAACCTTCACACTTGAAGGTCGTATAGTTTTATGTGGTTTAGCTTTGTGTGTTGTGTGAACACAATTGATTGGTAAGCTGTGGTTTATGCCATAGCTACAATTGAGAGTTGTTCAACAAACCATAGTTAATCAAACTATTCCTTTTACGTTAGCTCATTTGAGGTTTCATCATTGGGGCAGGTGTGGTCTGGAGCTCTTGACCATTTCTGACCTTCCAGAAGAAATTTTCTGGCCTGGTGGCTTTGTGGCTAGTACACCTGTGTGCCATGGAGACCTTGGAAAGGAGGCGTGGGAACATTGCAGAGAAAGGCAATGGCAGCACCTATGGGCAGCACCTATGGGAATTGGGGGCAACATGTTAAAAAGCAGTAAGTCCCGCTCACTTCGTCATGCCTGAAAAAAATAGCCATGCTGGCTCAGGAGCTCTGGGAGTTGAAGTCCACGAGTCATAAAAGAGCCAAGATTGACTACCCCTGCCCTGGATTTGGTGTGCAAACAGAACAGAATAACAGAGTTGAAAGGGACCTTGGAGATCTTCTAGTCTTACCCCATGCAAACCTAACGTGCCAGTGCAGGAGATGTGTTATTTTCTCGGTGGCCGTATCCAGGACATGACAGAGAGTTACCCAGACTATTCAGATTCACTGTTAACTAGCCTTTCCCAAAGGAATATTTGGGAATATTCCCAAGTAAAGATAGAAGCAGTGCTTTTTTTCTAAAAAAAAAAAAAAAGGTGCCGGAACTCATACATGTCATACAACCCGCCTTGCCTACCCTATAAGGTTCCATCCAAAAAAAGGTGCCGGAACTCCGTTCTGGGCGTTCTATGAGAAAAAAAGCCCTGGATAGAAGTATTTCTTTTCATCCATCTTTCCACTTGAGGGGGCATCAAAACTAAACACAACTGGGTTCTTGGCCACATAGATAGTATTGTCAAGAAATGTTTGAATTCTGCAACAAAAGCCCGTGGTACCTCTAGAGAGATGAGCTACATGGTGCAAAAACGTGAAGGAAATATGTTGTAGGCACTTCACCAGTCTCATCAGGAAAATTTAAAACTAGAATAAGCAGGAGGGTAGCAGAAGCCCAGAACCAAACGTGCAGGGGCCACAAATGCAAGATTCAAAGGCAAAAGAAGAAGGTCAAAGTGGGACATTTCTCAGGAAGCTCCAACTGTAGCGTCCAGCCAGTAAATGGAGCCCTCCAAATTTTAGCTATTTCAGGACCAAGTGAAATAAACAGGAAAACTGGAGATCCTAACTCAGGAAGACAAGTATGATGCCAAAGACATCACTAAAATTTGGAGGAAAGACACCCGTGATGGACACATAGCCCAGAAGGTACACTTTATTTAAAAGGAACGGAGCAACAGACAGGGAGGGAGCACTGCAGTTTACATAAATAGAAATACAGGAACTGGAGCATAGAAATGCAGCTGAAACAGCTTGTAGAGAGGAACCGAAGGGAAAAGAAACAAAGTGAGAGCCTTGAGGAAGTTTCTCACAGACCCTCCTTTGGCTGGGAGGATCTGGCTTTCAGAGAGGCAGGTGGGGGATTGCAAGTATCCTGATATCAGCTGGGAATCCATCTCTGCGCAAAGAGATGTTGCAGGAAAGTCTTCCCTTTATTGCCAGACATTTTATTTTCTTGGGACTTTATCTTTGGTGCTATTCTGTTCTCTTTTCCTGATGGGAGAACCAAAGCTGAGAGAGGAGCGGAAGAGTTGGTTCTGTGTAGGTAGAGATTGCAGGTCTGCCAGCCAGGTTGCTCTTAAGTACTCGGTGTCTTGTAATGTTGAAGAAATTGTCTAGAGTTTGCTGCAAGGCCTGGCAAGGAGAAGCGAATGAAGAGGATTGGGAAGAAGATGCTGCCAGGCGCTGATGCTCTTTGACCCCCTGTTCCACTGGGCGATGGGTCCTGGGAAAGGAGGGGCTGGCATTGGGCTCCCCTTGCAGTTGGGGATTCATCCCAGTCACCCCAACAGGGATTTCCTTGACTCTGAAGTGGGCAGCCTCCAGGAAGGGTCATGGTGGAGTAGAAGAGGCACTGCTTGATCTCAAACAGGCTGCAGGTTCTGTCTGGCTTGGAGAAAGGAGGACAGGGAGCAGTCAGCACCACATTCCAAGTACAGGAGAGGGGCCGGCCTCTCCTTACCTTGCCCATCTTACATTTAGGGGCTGAAGAGATTTGGACCCTGCCTGGCATTCAGACTGGCAGGGAGGCTGCAGTATAGTGAATGCCACAAGACTGTTTTTTTTATTGTTCCCAGCTTCCTCTCTGTCCTTGCAAAGTGTCCACAGCTTCAGGTAACTCCGGTTACCAGAGCAGATGCTTCCTGGTCCCACTTTCCACAGAGCTGAGCTCGATGGGTGCTGATGTGTCCCCAGAAGCCCCTCAGCACAGGCCATCTGGAGGCTGCAGTTGTGAGTGTGAGGGCTCTTTTCTTTCAAAAATGCATCATGGAGAATTCCTCTGTGTTCAGTTTATTATGAATATTTGAATAGTGTTAAGTGGTTTGTTCTGACACAAGCATGTCTCATACTTGTTCTTAATTGTGGCTCATTAAGGCATGTTTGATGTGAAGAATGTGTTGATGTGAAGAGGAGAAAACAGATGGTTCCCCTTGCAGAGGCCTGGGTGGATTGGGTGGAAGCATAGAAGACAGATCATCTCCAGTTGTTTCAGCTGACTGGAAATTTTCCTTCCCTCCCCTCCCCTCCCCTCCTTCTAATCTTTTTGGATTGCATTCTTCCATCTCTTGCTTGTTATTAAGAGATCCCGTGCTGCCTGCTGGTACCAGTCCTACTTCCCTGGGCTTCACTTGCTCAGAGGTGGTCGGCTCGGTTTTAGGGAGGAGGTTTAGAGCTTTCAGTCCCAAGGCTGGAAGAGAGACTGTGGTGGAAAGTAGTCTGGATTCCCAGCTGGGAGGGAGGGGCCACCTTCCAGAGGAGCAAGAGGCAGAGCAGCCTAGATAGTTTGTGTGGGAGAAAAAGGATGAAGACAGCTCCTCCCTAATAGTTCCCAGAGACTATGTTTAGTGGGGCAAGGAGTCTGCTTCAGTTTGGCAAAATTTCTGACTGTAGGTGAAGAACAAGAAAGGAAATTGCCTTGAAATAACTCAGTGTATCTTTGGCTTTTGGAGCCTGGCAGGGACTTTCAGGGAATGCTGCAAACCTCTACAGGTAGTCCTTGACATATGACCGCACTTGGCACTGGAATTTCAGTCATAGGTCAGGACAGTCACAAGTTGAGGCACCCATGTGATCAGATCTGATTGTTTGACTGTTTTTACAGCAGTCGTTAAGCGAGGGTTAGGCAGGGAGAGGCTGTCTGCAGGATTCAGTTGCTCCTCGCAGCAGTTTTGGATGACAAATGGCAAAAGGGCCCCTGGGAGTGGCCCCCAGATGCCCCCTCCATCTTAGAGTTGCTGCTGGGGAGGCAAGGACTGCGGAGGAGGGAGGTTCTGGGGCCGGGCCAGGCTGGGCGAGCAGCCTGCTTGCCAGGAGGGGAAGCAGAAGGGCAGAGGGCGGCTGCCTTGGGAGGTCTCTGTCCTGGGAACAAAGCAGGGGCAGCTTTGAGCCTCATCCCTTCTCTCTGGAGGGCCCAGATTCTCCCCAAAGAGAATGGGTGGGCAAGGATCTACCAGGCTGGTTCAGAAACGCTCCCTTCAGACGCCCAGAGAGAGACGGGCATGGAGCCTCCCCATGCGGCAGATCGTAGACTTCTACAGGGAGAGTTTAAGGGGCTCTGCCATAGCCCCCCTGAGTGACTGGCATGTTTGCTTGAGGGATTCAAGAGGGGGGAGGAATGGGGGAGGCCACATCCCCTCCCCCTTAGGTCCCATCCAGCTGTTGTCTTTCTTGTCCTTTGATGGACGAATTCTGCAGAGGTTCTCATGACTCAAGAGGTGCTTCTGGCCAGCGTTTCTTCTGTCATCATTGGTGGAAAAAATACTTCACGCAGAAGAAGACTTCCGCACCACCATCCAGCATGGGAGGAGAGGGGGGCCGCATCTGCCTCGGACTACCTGTCCCATCTCTTGATGCTCGAGGCCACACAGTGGCGTGTTACTTCTGGGAAAGTTGCGTCTGCTGCTGCGGTTGCTGCCCGGTCTGGGTCCATCCCTGGGAGGAGGAGTCTTCAGACCTCCCTCCTGCTCCAGGCTCCCTGCCTGCCCGCCTCTGTCCGCTGTCCTGACTGATTCCAGCCCTTCTTTTGCAGAGAGATGCCAAAGGCCAGTCCCTCTTTGACCTTCTGTGCCATCACTTAAACCTCCTGGAGAAGGACTACTTTGGGATCCGCTTCGTTGACCCCGACAAGCAGAGGGTAAGTCCCAGCTTGGTGTTTTCGGTCAGCTGAGCCCCTTCCTCGTACCCGGTCTCCAGGCCAGCAAAGCAGCTGCAGGTGGAGGGACTCTTGCTTGGTGGGCCTTGAGCTCCACTCCAGCAGCTGTTCCTGCATTATTCTGGAGCGGGAGAAGACCAGAGAAGAGCTGCCCTCCTCCGCTTAAAAGACTGGCATTGCTTTGCCCCAATTGTCAAAAAGCCTCCCGAGGATTTCACTACACAGCAAACGTGTGTGCAGCATCTTTGCTTGCTTGTTAGCTCCCAGCTTGGGTTTATACCTGACCACACTTTGAGGTCAGAGATATTCAGTAAAGGCCCCGGGCCCCATGTGGCCCTGTGAGCCTTGGATGAGACACCCAGAGACTCCACATTAGTAGATATTATATGGTTATGTGTGAATAGAGTATCTTTGAAATTAATCTGATTTAATTGCAAATTAAATGAAATTCTACCCCTCCTCAGTGCTTTTTGGAGCACAGTTCAGGCTGGAAAAATTGAATCTCCCATCCCCATTCTTCTGGGAACCAGAGCAATAGATTTTTTTTCTCTGCTATTTTTTTCTCTGCTAGAGTGCTGGGAGTCAAAGAGGGGAGCCAGGCAGAGCTTGACCTTGCCCTGTCCTGGCCGGAGCGGCATTCTCAGCAAAAGAGCCCAGCCTTGGGGCAATGTCTGGGTGTAAGATCATTTGAGGCCGGCTAGAAAAAAGCCACCCCCTTAGGATCACAAGAACGTAAGAAAGGGACTGTCCTATGCTGAGCTTCTGGGGCAAAATAGGCAGGGGTGGAAAAAACGTCCTAAATATTGAAAGCCCGTCATCTGCTTGATTGGTGCCCAGTGATTTACAGGCACAAATCTCGCTCACCTTGTGAAGAAGATCAGGGTTCCAGGCTTTTGAAAGCAAGCTACCCCAAATATCTCTACAAGAGCTCTACACGGCTTCTGCTCAGCCCCAACCGCTTTGCAGCTAGTGCAGTTTTATAACTGAAGCCAGGTTTTTTTTGGGGGGGGTGAGCAGAAAGACAGTGCAGCCACCCTCTGTTTGCCAGCTTTTGAATCTCTCCCTCTCTCTCTTGCTTCAGCACTGGCTGGAATTCACAAAGTCTGTTGTGAAGCAAATGCGATGTAAGTATTTATCTTCATGATCGCTATTCAGTGAGCTGGCACGTCTGTAACTTGGCAATGTGTGAGGGACTGGATCTCTGAAGGGGGAGGGGGTGGGTGCACTGCAGTGAAGCAGCAGTTTCCAAAGGAGGAGGAAGAAGTACATGCTGGGGTGGGGGTCGACAAGGGGCAGCCCTACCCCATCCCATCCCATCCCTAATCCTTATCCATTCTTATACTAGCAAGTATCAGAACCTCCTCAGGAGTTTTAGAGGCCATTTCGGTGATCCCATTCAGAGGATCACAGCCAGTGGCAAGGTTTGGAAACTTCACTATAGTGCATCACACAACGCTGTGTTGTGTTCTGCATGTTGGTGGGGTGGTCTGTGCTGCCATCTGAACCTCTGTGAATGTGATGTGTTAAGTGGAATCTGGTTCCACTCGTTCTTCCTGACTTGATGGGATCCACTGAGTTGAGAGAAGTGCTGACTTTTCCAAATGGATCCTAGCTGGATTAGTAGCTGAGCTACAAATAATGTCTGTTCCTAGATGTGGCTCCCTTCCTCTCGTCACGTGACATTCTCCAATTTCTGATGAGCAGTTGTCAAATTTTCCTTTTCAAGACACAAATCCTCTTTTTGCCCTTCTTTTGCTAAGCCAGACTGGAGACGCAGCAGGAGGGTGAAGGCTCCCCTGGGGGGCCGATGGGCTCCTGTAGACCCCCAGCCCATCTGAGACCTTTTTCTCTTCTGCAGCTCAGCCCCCTTTCACTATGTGCTTCCGGGTGAAGTTCTACCCCACCGACCCAGCTGCTCTAAAAGAGGAGATCACCCGGTAAGAGGGGGAGGGGTCTTGCCCCACTTCCGGCTGGCCACAGGAAAAGCTGCTGGCGGGGGGGGGGGAGGCTGAGAGTATCAGAGGCTCTTGGCTTTGCTTGTTGCTCTGACGCCTCAGTGCGGAAGGGGAGAAAGGAGGCAGCGATGACGGCAAGGAAACCTGAAGGAAAAAGAAACCGGAGGTTACTGTCCAGCAGGGTCTCTTTAGGGACCTGCTTTGCCAGCCACACCTTCCAGGGAGGGTCACTACGTTCCGCTTCTGAGCCTCCCGCTGGAAACAATTGGAGGATGAGATCCGTTAGAACTTTGGGTCAGATTAGGTTGCCAATCTCCCCCTTTCCACTAGGTATTGTGGTGGTTTCAGGTTGGGCTGTCTTCTCAAGGGCTGCCGAGATGCCTTCAAAGCCAGGAGCAGTGGATCTTCCGTTTCCATCTAGCTGCACTTGGTCCATCCCTTGGTGGCATCCCTGTATGATATGCCCATTACAGGTTTTTCCTTGCTGCTCACCTCCCCCTTGGATCACAACTTGGGCAGCCTTCTCCTGCTGTCTTCAGCCCAACTATCCCACCCCAGGGGTTACAGTATTGTTAAGAGGAGCAGAGTCTAGCTGTACATCTGAAAGGGCTGGCTGAGGCATCGAGCTCAGAAAAGGAACAGAGGCGTGGGAAGGCTCTCCTCCAGGCTGCCTCCCTGGCAGGGGTTGGGCGGGGGTCAGAAATGGCCTTGCCTGGGCATTTTTGGACAGAGCCCTTTTCGGACCCATCTGGGAGAGGGAAGCTTGGCGAGGCCCGGCCACCGGAAGAGGCCCGGAAGGGATTTGGGAAGGCCCCGCGTGGCTTCTCTGGACGGTGCAGGAAGGAAGGCACTCATCGCTCTCGCTCTGGTTCCCCTGACAGGTATCTCGTCTTCTTGCAGATCAAACGAGATCTGTATCATGGGCGCCTCCTGTGCAAGACCTCCGACGCTGCTCTGCTGGCCGCCTACATCCTCCAAGGTAGGGAGGAGTTCAGATGGAGACCTTTGGGGGGGGGAGGAAGTCGGGGGCCCCACCAAGGCCTTCTTGCAAGCTGCCCCCTGCAACACAATTAAGCTGGGCTGCCTTTAAGCCCTTTTGCCCCCAGACGGGAGCTCTTCAGTGGGCTTTTACAAAGGACTGGCAAATGAGACGTAGTCTTGGGGGGCCCACTTGCACCCCGACCCATTTTCTTCCCAGGGAAAATAGTTTAAGGAAGAGAAGAGAGCATCTCTGCCTTTTTCTGGCAATCCTCCTGGGGCGGAAAGGGGTCCTGCAAATAAACATCAGGCATTGCAGCCAATCAGCCTCCTGGAGAATGTATTTGGTTAAGGGGATATTTCTAAAACAACAGTCCCAGATCCCCTTTGCTTACATTTGCCAAAGTCAATAATTATTGGTAATTTCTGTTCTTGCTTACAGCTGAAATCGGTGACTATGATCCTGGAAAACACCCAGAGGGATACAGTTCCAAGTTCCAGTTTTTCCCCAAACACTCTGAGAAATTGGAGAGGAAAATTGCTGAGATCCATAAAATTGAGCTCAGGTGACTCTGAGTAGCTGCTCTGCTTGTTCGTTTGTCTCCCACACTGGGCAAAGCTGCCTCCTGACGTCTCCCGTAGCGAGTCTTGCGCTGAGTCGGGAGTTCCGATCTCTGATTCAGCTCTCCAGCTCAGCACTGCTAGGGGGGAATTGAAGGACCTGAGAACGATAACCGAGATTCAAGGCAGGGGAAATGTGTGCCTGGAGCTGCTCAGGGAGAGAATTTTTTTTTGATCCTGGCTTTTGCCCTTTTCCTGATGGCCTTGGCCATTTGCTAGAGCAGAGGAGATTGCCCGGTACTTGATCACCAGGGTTAAACTACCCTGCAAATGGATCAACCCTGCTTTGTGGTCAGCTAATGGGACCGGCCTTCCCAGCAACCGGGATGGTTGGTTTTAAAGCTGCACCCAAAAGACGTGGTCGCCCTGTTTTCTTCCAGCTCCTCAGAGGACAGTTTCTTGGTTTGGCAGCCTTCCAAAACAAAACATGGTTTAGTAGCCCCAACTATTTTTCCCGGCTCCAGGGCATCCCTAGAAGGAGGAGGAGGAGTTAAGAACCAAGGCTTTCTCTAGCTCTGTAAGACTTCTGGGGTCAGGCCAGAAGATGGCCCAACTAATAAAAGGCAGGGCCGCCATGAATCACCTCAGGGCATTGCTTGATCCAGGGAAGGAGAACACGGAACAGGGCAAGATCCGCGAACGGGTGGAGGTGTCTCTGGAGTGGGGAGAAGGTGGCAAAGGAGAACACCTGGCTTGTGTGCAGACGAAATGGTCCCTTTGAAATACAGATGGCCCGGTCCAGCAGATGCAAATTCAGCCAGATGGCAATTTAATCCCATACAATTCCAACATTATATTGCAGTTGGGACTGAAAATCTCTAGGCCTTAGTTTGCGAGAATCCAGCCGAGCTGAGCCTGAAGACCTCTTAAGTTTTACCCCGTTTGGCAGGTGGCCTTCTGGCTCCCAGGCCCCTCCCTGCTGGGGAAAATTGCTCTCCCAGTTTGCTCACAGTTCAAGCAGATGCGAGAGGATTGGGACCTCTCTCTTCTCTTTCTCCTCCTCCTCCTCCTCCTCCGTCTTCCTTCTCTCTGCTGCGTTGTTATCTATAGCCTTATGTTACTGAGCAAGAAGATTGCATCTCACATGATTCAAGGGGCATCTAAGAAATCACATACTAAAACCTGTCTAAGCACTTCTAGCTACTTACTGTATTAGCATTTTGTCAGAACATTTAAGGTCGCCTTTCACCCTGACAGTTCTCTGGCTGGGCTAGGAAAGCAGGACCCATTAATAATGCAAAATGAAACCCATCAATAATACCAAATTAGGCACGCAAAGTTGACATCAGCATAAAACAATAAGCTGCGTCCTCCTGCCTCTGACGCTGGGCTGCTGCCCTGGGCCCCGGATGGCGGAGCCTCCGTCTGCCGGCGCCTCGCCTGAGCACACCCTTGTGTAGCTGTGGCTTTCAGAGGCAGCCAGGCCACGGTGGCTGTGCTCGGGCCTGCAACCAGGATGCCCCACTGGTTTTCTAGGGCTTCAGGCAGGGCTTGGAGCTCCTGACGCCATGGGACGGCTGCACTTCCCCCCCCCTTCTTCTCTTCCAGTGGGCAGACCCCCGCAATGGCAGAGCTGAACTTTCTCAGGAAAGCGCAGACCTTGGAGACGTACGGAGTGGACCCACATCCCTGCAAGGTACACGGTGGGGTCCCCGTCCTCTGCCTGACTGCAGCCGCCTTCCTTCTTCTGCACGGAGGGCCTTGGCATTCAGTGGCTGCCCTTGCCGGCTGTGGCGTTGGCCACAAAATCCTCCTCCTGGGAGAGACTGGATTCCCCCGTGGAAGACAGGCAGTCCCTGACCTGCCAGCTGAGTCCTCCTCTCCACACCGCCACTCCCCCCCCAGCACACCTTGGTCCTTTCCTGCTGCCCCCCTTGGTTTTGTAGGGCTCCCCTGTTGAGCCAGATTTAAATGGCTGCTTGACAGCAATCTGCTCAGCTCTGGAAGCCATACTGCCACCTCCCCCTTTGCCAGAAACGAATAGAGCGAAATGGACACCGCTGCATTTAAATGCTAATAGCGAATCAAAACATTTGAAAGGAAATTCTGCAGCAAAAGCAGTTTAAGAAGGATCTGCAGCAGAAAGATATTTGTCAGATCAGCCGGATTGACTCTTGTGGTGTCTTTAATATTTAAGCCAGTGTCTAGAAGGACAACCTGCACATTGGTGTGTGAGGCTTCCTTGAGTGCCACACGGCATCTCCCAGCTCAGAGAGCTGTCTGTTTTGCACGCCTAGAGCATGGCCCACGAACAGCCCAGCTTTCCCAGTGGGATTCCTGCCTGCTGGACCATGGCTTTGCACCACAAGTGACCATTTCCTTGCCATGAAATAAGCCAGGCCACACTTAGAAACAAAATAAGAGTTTAAGAACTCTGGGATGAGAAAAAAGCCTGAGCAATTAGCAAAATCCTTCCTTCCCATAATGGAGGGCAGGGATGAGGGGCAGACCTCCTGTTACAGTGAGACCTCATTCTGGGCCTTAATTGTTGTTGTCTTTGGCATTGTCTTCATTTGCTCCAATTTTTAAACCATTTACTTAAACATATAATTTATGCAACAGAAACAACCATAATTTAAGGCTGGTGAGCACTGATTACTTGAGACTCAGACTTGGGCAGGATCCAGCTGTGAAAGTGGTGGGCAGCTGTTTCTCTCTCTTTCTCTTTCTCCCTCTTTCTTCCATACTTTGCCTTCCATCCAGCAGCTGGCAGGAAACTAACCACTCAACCCAATTATGGCAGAGATCTGAGCAGTGATTCCAGTCTAAGAATGGTTCCCAGTTCAAGTGGAAACTTACTTTTAAGATGCAAAGGTTTTTAAGGTCCCGGTGGGGCACAAGAGGGGCCCAGTGCTGGGCAGTAGGAACAACCTTGAGAAATGGAAGGAGAGGCAGCAGCCAAGGCAATGCTCAGAGAAAAGAAATTGGGGTCCAGGGCAGAAAGGTCATTTGAGAAAGGATCTCAAAAGTGGGGAGGGGAACCTAGGCAGGCTTTCAGCATTCTGTCACTGTAAACCTACAGAAAAGTAACATTTGCATGTGTGACTTTGGCCTCCCTGTCTGCTCTTCCTTGAAAGGTTGACAGTCAGTCCCTCTTTTCGGGGACCATGTGTGCCTGCATATGTGCAGCCACCATCTTGGTCCTACCCATAAATAAACCAGCCCAAGTGACTGGAAGAAGAGGGCTGTGAGGCCTCCAGGCAGGGCATGCAAGAGGCCCCTTCGGGTCAGAGGCCCGGAGACCCCCAAACGCTGGAGGGGCTCCCAGAAGCTTGGGGACACTGCCCCCCCAAGGGGGAGGGAAGCGATGTCCAGGGCTCAAGAGCTGCAGAGCCTCGGTGTTCATCCAGCTCGGAGTCCCGGTGGCCGAAGAGGCTGGATAGCTCCACCGAGCGCGGAGTTTGTCTTCAACCGTGGCACCGCTGGGTGAGCAGCTGCTGGTGTGTTGCAGGATGTGTCCGGAAATGCTGCTTTTCTGGCCTTCACTCCTTTCGGATTTGTGGTCCTGCAAGGAAACAAGCGAGTCCACTTCATTAAATGGTGAGTTCTGCGCCAAAAACCTGTTCCTACAGTTACATAGGAGGAAGGGAGGCTTTCCCAAATATAGTGACATCATCAGCCCCCTCTTCAGCCCCTCCCCGTGTCTGTCTGTGGCCTCTCCCCCACAGTGGCAGCCTCTCCCCCAAGACCCCATCTGCAAAGCCAGGATCTTTGGTGCTTGCTCTTGCCAGACTTCCCCCCCCCCGCTCCCCTCGCCCTCGCCCTCCAGGGCAGACTTCATTATTTCCTTGTCTTTTTTTTTTTTGAAGAAGTAGTTTACAAGATTAAATGGTACAGAAAAGTAAAAAAGGATATAGAAAAGTGGAAAAGGAATAAAAAGAAAGATAGGAAAGAAAAAAACACAGGCAAAAGTGAACATTATAGATTCAAAAAGAAAGAAAGAAAGAAAGAAAGAAAGAAAGAAAGAAAGAAAGAAAGAAAGAAAGAAAGAAAGAAAAGAAACATTTAAAGAATTGACTTCTGATTGTCTTTGCAGTAGTTACAGAGACAGATGGTCTTGTCGGGATGCCCTCCCAAATTATATGACCCAGTTCCCTTCCTCCCATATAAAGCCTGTCTTAATCAAGCTCAGTTCATTTCCATACATTTTCAGCAAAAAGTCCATAAAGGGTTTCCAGCCTTTGGTAAAAGTAGGTGTTACCCCTCCCCTAATCAAACAAATAAATTTAGCCATTTCTGCATTTCTCCATCTTTACAATCTCTTCTTCCATTATGCGTATTTCTGTCTTTCCCCCATCTTTGTGCGCATAATAGCCTTACTGCAGTTATCGTATATAAAACCAATTGGTAAACTGTAGTCATCCTAGCTCACAACTAAATCCAAGTTAAATCCAAAACTGCTACGGAGGTCCTGGAACCATTCAGAGAAATCCGTTATCAAAAGGCACAGAGAAGTGAACAATATTTATGCACCATTGAAAAGAGTCAATAAAAAAACCTAAGAAGGCAGCAAAACCACCATCCATTATCTCGGCACGACCAACTCCCCCATCTCTCTATACTTTCTTGGCCTTGATTACTCACTTTTGTATTCCTTTAACTCTTCTGTGTTTTTCTATGCTCTCTCCATTCTTTCTGCATTCTTTTTTTTAAGTTTTTATGTTTATTTAATATATAAAATACAAAAAATACAGGTATGTGGGGCAGCTCCATCCCCCACCCCCACCCTAGCTTGATTTTTATGCGTGTGCCTCACCCCAAAACTGGGGTTTATTTTGGGGGGGGGTAGGGCTTCTATTAGCCACATGTGTAAAAATCATGCTAGGGCTTATTTTCGGGATAGGTCTTTTTTTTTTTAGGGAAACGGTATTACAGCAACATGTTCTTTATATCACTAACCATCCCCATACAAATCTCTTAAAACACTCCTTCCAGAATTCTATCAACTCAGTTGCACACCAAATCATTTTAGCATTTTTACTTTTGATTCTATAAGAGCAATGTGCAATCTACCTTTGCTTCTTTTATGATGTTCTTTGCAACTGAGCACACTAAGATACATCCCCATTGGTCTTCATCTCCTCCTCAGACAGTGTGGAACACTTTCCTGGAAAAAGAAATGGCAGACTGGTGTCAGCCGTTGCCAGTTTACTCCAAAGGCAGCCTCTGCTTCTGGGATCAAAAGCTGGCCCTTAAATGGACCGAAGGGGCAGAAAGCTAATCTCCCTTGGATGTGGAGATGTGGAACGTTTCGGTCTCCTAGTCAACCTGGAATCCTTCAGTATGTGATTTCTATCTGTCCTCCCAATTTTAGGAGGAAAAAAAAGTGCCTTGTGATACCAAAGGGATTTGGGGTCTTCCCTCCTGATGGGATGCTTCAAGTCTCTGCCTTGCTCTGGGTCAACAAAGAAGGCTGGCAGGCTGTGAAACCCAGGGTCGGTCCTGGAAAGTGAGACATTCTGGAGAATTCTTTGTGCAGGTGCAGACCCAGACTGAGAGACTGTGAAGCCCAACAAGTCACTCCCTGTGTGTGTAGACAAGAGTCAGCCCCGGACTGGGAGCCTAGCAGGCAGTGGGGAGTTCTAAACCTCTGGCCTCACGCGACAGTCAGGCTTCCGTGTCTTTTTAGCCGGAGAAAAGTTCCCACGGCCACAAAAAGGGAGGCCTAATTTTCCCAGGTGCAGGATGAGTAGACAGGAAAAGCCGCCCTCTTCAGGGTGTGAAAAGTCTGTTCTGGGGAAAAGCCAGCCTTCCTGCGTTTGATCAGGAGAGGCTGGCAAGACCTGAAACGGCTGGCAGGCTAAGGAGGGGGCGGCTGGAGGGGGCTTTTTGCTCCTGGGGAACAGCACAGGAGCCGTCTGCCCGTTGCTGCAACCGCTGGGCATCCAAGACAGATCCATGGTAGGCCGCAGACCTTGAAAGAAGGGACCTTCAAAGGTGTGAAACTGAAATCTGAACTAGGCTTCCTCCATTAGAGGGAGGGAAAGGGACCTGAGCCACTGGGGAAGGGGCTGCCCTGGGCCTGTGCTGCTGAGAACAGACGGGGGTCCTTGGGGGGGGGGCTTGCGCTGCTCTCATAGGCCCTTCTTTTGGCAAGACCCAGCCAAGGGCCACCTCTTCCCCTGGGAACAGTCTGGCCCTGAACTGGTCCACGTGATGTGTAGTTGGTATCACTTCTCTTGCTTTGTCTTGTAGCCCGTTGTTGATATGCCCTAGTATCCTGTTTGCCCTTTTTACTGCAGCTCCATCCTGAGCTTCACGGATTTTTCTACAATATCCCCTAAACCCCTTTCCTGGTCAGTACACTGCATGACTGTTCCATGTAATTTGTGCCCGCAATATTCAGTTTGTGCCCCCAAATATACCCTTTTGTCCGTTCGTCTGCATTGTCCATGTTCTTGGCACAGCCGCCTAAAGATCCCCTCAGCCTGCTCTGGACCCGGTTGCCCTATTAATTCATCCTCTGCCCACATCAGCCACGCGTGGCTCTCTCCGTTCAGCCTCCTCCTCCAAATCTGCCAGGCTACCAGGGGCTGCTGCCCCTCTTGAGGCCGAGATGCCTTTCACCCCCACTGCCGTTTTCAGCCGGGGACCCCTGCCCTGAGCCATACACGTTCAGCTTAGATCTGCAACTGCTCTCCTTTTCCAAAAGAAGTTTCATTTAACTTTGTGTTTTGTGCAGCTTGATTTAAAATCTGCCTTTTGCCAGAACCTGTTCCACGCTGTGTGTGGGCCTGTCCTTGTCATGCGATGCCCCAGACTTTGAGGCGGTTTCCTCTTTCACGGAAGTGCTTTTCTTCTGCTTGCAGGAACGAAGTGGCCAAAATGAAATTTGAAGGCAAGACGTTCTATTTATACGTAAGTCAGAAAGAGGTGAGTGCCTTCCAACGTGATCTGCTTAATGAGACCAAACAAATCCAACGGTGTCTCTGTCTGCAGATCACCCAAGATATCTCAGCAAGTTGTGTGGATCCAGGTTAAACTCTGTATTACCTTACGAAAGCAGTCATCAGGCCGAGAATCTGGAATGCTTCCTTGGTTCTAGGCTCCAGTTGAACCCAGAGAAGTCCAGCCCAGAGCCGGCTTGGTCAATGGTCTGCTGCCCAAAAGGGATGGAGCCACAGTGTGGATCGATCCACCCACTTGGCTTTGTGGAAGGCTGAGCATTCCCTCTGGATGGATGGAGAAAAAGCTCTCCAGGCCACCTCCAGGGCCACCCCAGTTGCTGGCCCCTTAGAGCAGCCGTCTCATCCTTGGGAGGAGCATCACAGCCCAGGCACAGAGTCCGTGGGACTTGAAGTACGTGGAGAGGGTTCTGCCACCCCAACTCCACGAGGGGGCCGAGGCTGGAATCCGGACTGGAAGACCTTTGGGAGTTGAAGGGCTGCAATTACTGCCAGGCAGAGGGAATACTATAACTTTTCTTCTTCTCCACCACATTTCAAGATCAATCCTTACCCCCCCACACACAGACACTCTGCACCTCCCACTTCACTTCCCCAAAGATGGGGGGGGGAGGCAGAGGAATGAGTTCAGGGCAGTGCTGGGTGGGGAGATAAATAAATATTGGGGTCCAGGAAAGACTGCCCAGTTCAGTTACTCAAGTGATGCCTGTTTTTCCAGGCTCTTGCTGTCCAGTAGAGCAAGGGGGTCTGCTTTGTCAAAAAGTCAAGATGGTGGCCACCTGCCCTGTTTAAAAAACAGGGTAGAACCTTGATGGCATGATGTAGAGAATAGGGAAGGCGAAGATGAAGGGAGCTATGCAGGATCCCCCATCCCTAACCGTCTAGGCGAAAGGGACTAAAATAATGGTTAAATCTAGAATGCCTGGATAACATTTGGAAATGCATCAGGCTCCTCCCTAATTCACTGGACCATAACATCGAGGAGCAGGAGCCCTAAAATCAGAGGGGCAAAGTTCTGTTCTTAGAGCCCACCTCAAATAAAAGCAGTTTTAGCCACACTGTGAGTGTGGACTTGGTTTCCTGTTCTGACCTACTACTGGATGTGACCCACTATCTCAACCGTGAACAATCTCCTCCTCCTCCTCCCCCCAGGCATCCTTGCAACAGAGCTGGATTTAAACCATGTTTCTGTTAGCAATTATATTTTGCATGCTTTCTTTCAAACAGTATTAAGAACACCTAGTATAAATTAACCGTAAGGATTTTTCTGGGATTTTGGCAGGAAAAGAAAATTGTTCTGACCTATTTTGCTCCAACTCCTGAAGCCTGCAAGCATCTCTGGAAGTGTGGGATTGAAAATCAAGCCTTTTATAAGTGAGTAGATGTATTTTCCAGGATTTCTTTATATCCTTAGGAAGGAATTGTAGCAGCCGTTGCCAATTGCAGAGCCCAGCCACTCAGCCCAAGGTGGCAGTGACGTTTCTTGCAGAAACCTGGTCCAGGATTGGCTTCTCTGCTGCAGCCACACCTTGCTCTGTAAACGGGCACCTAATCTGGTGGGTGATCCCTCTGGCTTCTGCCTGGGAAGTCTTCCCATCTCCCAAAGCAAAGAAGCCTAAGAAACTAAAGCCTCTGTGAGAAAGAATTTCTTATGAAGAGCATCTGCTGTCCACAAGTGTCTCGTGTCCCTGTCCCAAGTCACCTTGTCTTTTGCATCACATGAATTTCCTGTGGCTCTGCGTGGTGCCTGGACCTGCTTGGAAATCTTGTGTTCAGGCAGCCTCCTTTCCCCTTGGACTAAGGCGAAAGCCCTGGGCTGCATTATCTGACCGATGCTCTGGGTTGTTTAGGGAGGGGCTGAAAAGCGGCCACAATAATTGCTTTGAGGTTGATGCATGTCCTGGAAGAGGCGAGATATTTCTGCTTTAGTTTTAAGAGCTAATGCCACATACCAAAGTACAGCTTTTAATTATTCTAAATCAATTTGTACAGATCCACACCAAATATTGCACATGTGCACCAACCAAATCCTGATTAGTCTTGCAGGCTTGCCAAAATAACACATTAACATTGCAATTTAATGTGCAGCTTTTCCACATATTGCTATAGATTCCCAGGTTGGATAATCACCAATTCTGTTAAGTCAAATAAATCTCAACTGGATCAGTGCTACCTAAATTCAGCTATGAAATGGATTCCCCTCAAAGTAGCTCAGAAGGTCTTGGAACTTGTGACTGGCTCCACCAACCAAGGAGACGACCCTTGGCATTCTCCGTGCTCTGTCTGGTGAGGAGGTGGACCCCCAAGTAGAAATGATCCTTGGCTCTTTTTGTTGCAAAAAGAATAATTTTATTAGAAGTGAATTGCAGTAAATCAACCCAGAGCTAAAGGTTGCAGATGAAGTTTCCCCAATTAACTTTCCCGTTCCCATTCCTGTCCCTTATCTCCTTATTGTCCAGTCACATTCAAAGGAATTGTTTTGGAAGCGCTCCCTGCATCTGTGGGCTAGATGGCGAGTGGTTGCATTCCCCTGCCAGGTCTCTGGAAGGCAGGATGAGTAGCTTCAGTTGCCCCCTTCGCTGCAGCTCCCCCCCCCCCAGGCTGGCATCTAGCAAAGCAAGGCTGAAGCTCAGGATGGCATTGGACAGCGGGCAGTGATGACTCAGCCAAGTGGGATAGAGAAGGCCAGAGAAGGAATGCGATGGCACCGAGTCTCATAGGAGCCCAGCGTGGGAAGAGAAACACAGCTGGGCTTTAGAGAGTCTGTCTCAATAGCGGAGCATCCTTGTGGAGTCTGTGTTTTGCGGCTCTTCCTGCCAGGCAGGTGCCCTGCAGAGCAGGGTGAAAAGTGGGTGGGCTTCGCAGGTGGAGACCCCCCCCCACTTTAAACAGGGAGCCTTACAGGAGTCAGGCTGGCTGCACTTTAACCACAACTTCTGGCTGGGTTGTTGCTCTGCATAAAGCAATTTGGATCAGCAATGGAGATGGAGAAGCGCCATGAATCCTGGCCAGGTCAGATGACACTGGCGGTGACTGGGAAAAGCCCCCCCCCCCGAGGCCCCCTAGGCAAGTCTGAGAAGGCACCTGCGTGTCCATAATGGGCATTGTGAAAGCCTCAAAGCGGGCCACACGTGCGCTTCTGAGCTGCGCCGATTTACAGGTGCAGCTCCCATAGAACGGGAGAAACCATCCCCTCTGCTTCGTGGCCATTAGCAGCACACAAGCCAGTGGCTCCCCCAGGGCCCATTCCTTTATGCCAGTTCTCCGAGCCTTTGCTTCATGCTCAGCACAGGGAAACAGCCCCCTCCCATCGCAGCCCTTTCAAAAGCCAGGCAACTGCTGATCGACCCCTTTTCCCACCTGTGCTTCTTGCTTCAGGTTGGAGAAGTCCAGTCAAGTTCGCACCGTCTCCAGCAGCAACTTATTTTTCAAAGGGAGCCGGTTCCGATACAGGTAAGTGAGGACTCTTAAGTGGCTGTTGCTGGATCTGTTTTGACGCACGCCTGGTTGTGTGAAGCCTGAGAACTGATTAAGGGAGGTGACAGTACAAAAGCAAAGTCTCCTCTGAGTTGAGCTGGACCCATTCAGTCCTGGCATTTCCAGGGTCCCCCTTCCCAACACCACACAGAGCCACCACCGTTTGGCTCTTCCAGAACCGGCAAGGCTGCCCAGGCACTCTTGCCAAGCTGGGCACCCAGTCAAAACCTTTCCAGGTATTGTAGACGGTCCGGTTATTACCAGGGATCAAGCGATAGCCTTGAGCGATGCTGCAGATCTACTCTGCACAGGATGGAGAAGCACTGCCGTGCTCCTGACCTTCAGGACGGGTAGAGTTTGCCAGCAGAATCTCGGGCTGGGCGTTTGCCACGCTTGTCACCTGTTCAGCTCTCCAATTTCTTTCAGCGGCCGAGTTGCCAAAGAAGTGATGGAGTCTAGTGCCAAAATTAAGAGGGAGCCTCCGGAAATACACAGGTAAGGCAGCTGCGGAGGAGTGAAAGGGTCAAAGGGCCACCATGAGCAGGAAGGATGAAGACAGCGGTGGTGGGAGTAGGACCCGTGCTGGACCTTCCGCCAGACCCCACCCTTGGGATGGGAAGGGAAGGCTGCCTCTGCCCTGCGCCCTTCCTTTCTTTCACAGGGCTGGACTGGTTGCCAGCCGGAGCTGCCCCTCCATCCCCCACGGACCCAGGCTCAGCAGCGTTCCCAGGACCAGGAGGAGAGCTGTCCACATCTCCATCATGGAAGGTGAGTTGGCTGCCCAGGTGGGTGATCACGGTTGATATATGTAGTCCTCATTTAGCAACCACATTTAGGACCAGCAACTTGGTCACTAATCGCTTGAAACAATTTCTAAGTGAAACCAGGATTGTATTTACAATCTTTCTTCAGCTTTCCTTGGCTTTGCAGTCATGCAAAGGTTGAAAATGTGAGGATTGGCCATAAAGTTACTTTTTCATCACTTGTTTTGCATATGGTTGCTAAACAAGACAGTTGCGAAACAAGGACTACTGTCAGGCTGGCCCCAACTTACTCCCTAGGAAAGAAGAACCCTTGACTCTACAGTTGATAGGGAAAAGGCACTTTTGCTATAGATGTTGCAGCGTGAGCTCTAAAGAAAAGCTGTGTGAAAATCATATATCGAAAGCCATTTCCAATGCCCAAAACTCTTGTGGGGGGGGGGGAAGCAGTCCAATCAGGTCTTATTCCAACGTTTTGGGAACGTGGCGCCTCCGGTGCCACAGCAAATTCCTTTCCCAGGGCCCTTGTCCTGGAAGGCAGAAAGATGACTCGATTTCGCACCTCTGCTTCCCGTCAGGGTCCATGCTCCCCAATTTCCCACAAGATTCTTTCACACCTCCAGCACTCTTTCCCTCCTGGTTATGGCAGTTGCTAGCAAACTTCAAAGAAAGCAAAGACAGGCAGCTGACAACTGCAGAACATAGCAACACCCTGCTTCTGGTTCACTGGAGTTCATTTTGTTCTATTGCTCAGATGTCTTTGTTATAGATTTGAATGAGTTTTGGAACTAGGTATTGAAAAAAGCGCTCAGGAGTTGAGGCTTCAGTTTCACATACCAAATTGGAATAACCAAAGGCTCTGGGCGAGCTTCATCCGTCTTCATCCTGGAAACAATATATTTGGAAAACGACTGGCTCATCCTATCAAAAGGGCTTTAAGCTAAAATTGAGGGGGGAGAGGGGCAATCTTCACGACTTATAGAACCCAATTCCAAACAAAAACCACTAGATAACCGGTCACATAAGGATGAAGGCAGTCCTTATGAAGAAACCAGCATGGTTGCACAAAGATCTCTCTGATAAACTGAAAGACAAAGAGGACAACTACAAAAAATGGAAAGAGGGACACATAACTAAGGCAGAATATCAGCAGATAGCCTGAATCTGCAAAGATGAAATCAGGAAAGCAAAGGCCCAGAGACAAAGACTTGCAACAAAAGTCAAAGATAATTAAAAAAAGTAAGAGGGAAGTAACAAACAGTAGAGAGATAGCAGAGCTGCTTAACTTGCACCAGTCTTCATGCAAAAAGAAATTATAGCCCAACCTACCAAAAGCATGACTGTAAAAGACAGACTAGAAATAAAAATTAATATAAGCAAGAAAATGGTAAGAGATCACCTGTCTGACCTTGATGAAATCATCGGGACCTGATGGATTAAATCCCAGAGTTCTGAAGGAGCTGGCAGATGCTATCTCAGAATCATTGCATCATATCTTTCAAAAATCTTGGAGCACCGGTGAACTACCAGAGGATTGGAAAAGAGCTGATGTGGTTCACATCTTCAAAAAAGGGGGAAAAACAGACCAAGGAAACTATAGACTAATCAACCTAATATCAATACCTGGGAAGATACTGGAAAAAAATAATCAAAAAACATCTGTGAACATCTAGAAACAAATAGTTATAACTAGAAGCACGGGTTTGTTAAAAATAGATCATGCCAAAGCAATCTTAGTTCATTCTTTGACAAAGTGACTAAATTAGCAGACCAGCAAAATGCTGTGGACATACTTAGATTTTAGTAAGGCATTTGACAAAGTAGACCTCAACCTATTTCTTGGTAAGCTAGAAAAATGTGGGATATACCAGATGGATTTGCAACTGGCTGACGAACCGTACTCAAAGAATAGTCCTTAATGGTACTACATCCACATGGAGGGAAGAAAGCAGTGGGGTACCACAAGGTTCTGTCTCAGGCCCAGTACTCTTCAATATCTTCATCAATGACTTAGATGAGTGAATTGAAGGGGAACTCATCAAATCTGCAGATGACACTAAGCTGGCAGGAGTAGCCAACACCCCAGAAGACAAGTTCAAGATCCAAAAAGATCTTGACAGACTTGAACAATGGGCCCTATCCAACAAAATGACCTGATCCCAAGCATAAACCAAAAGACAACCAATCAAACAAGGAGATAGGGAATGATGGGAAGGAAGGAAAACTCAAGATATACAACAGGAGATGTAGGAAACAAACCCAGTAATGCTCAATGTTTGGGGAACAAACAGGGTAAACTTGAAGTATTAGTATACGAGGACAGGTATGATATAGCTGCCATTATTGGAACTTGGTTGGGTGAAACTCATGACTGGGATTATAAGAAATTACTGCATCTCTACAGAAATTCTTCCTCTAGCAGCTTCTTTTGATCAAACCAACTCATTAATGCCTATCCTTAATTAAACTTGCAATACTTATGTTTTCCTATAGGACCTCCTGCAAGCAGAAAGCTGCAATGTTTTTTAAAAAAAAAGTGTGTGGCTCTGCCATCAGACCCTTCTTCTTCTTCTTCCTTCAGGGCTGGAGTCTTTGCGGGACAGTGCTCACTCCACCCCGGTCAGGTCGACCTCCCACAGCGACACCTTCTTGCCCCACCGCAAGTGGGAGAGCACCGAGCGTGTGACCGTCATCTCAGACGAGGTCTACAGTCCCTCGGACAGCGTGCTGCCCACTCCAGTGGCCGAAGAGAGCCTGGAACTGATGCTCCTGTCCCGGCCAGTTAATGGCGCCCCCTGCAGCATAGAGGAAGAGGAGTCGGAAGCCGGCGCTCCAGCGGGGGAGGCAGAGGAGCTGGGAAGGGACCTCCGCGCCTTGTGCAGCAGTGGAGGAGCCCAATCAGAACAGGTGAATAAGTTTGTTTTAAGTGTCCTCCGTCTGCTCCTTGTGACAGTCGGACTCCTCTTGGTTTTGCTCCTTCTCCTGATCATCCTTACGGAATCTGACCTTGACGTTGCCTTTTTCCGTGATATTCGCCAGACCCCCGAGTTTGAACAATTCCATTATCAATACTTTTGTCCCCTCAGGCGATGGTTTGCCTGCAAAATCCGCTCCGTACTCAGCCTGATCAATGATACCTGAAGGCAGTTGTCCTCCTAGTAAGTAGCCAGGAGGACTGTGGAAGAACCCTGCTGCCCATTCCCAGAAAACGGGGCTCATCGTGGCGCCATCAGCACATAAATTAAGTCCTCCTCTCATGACTCAAAGCGGCCCAGGGGGGCAGCTTCCCAGCTGAAGAAAAGGATCAAACTCACCATGCAACCGATTTCTTTGCAGGTCCTCTGGTGGGAAGCTCCTTCAAAGTTCTGCTTTCCAACATTCAAATTACTCTGCACTGTTCAAATTTACTTTTGCTTTCGTAGAGGTGTTAATTACAGAAACTTCAAGTAGAGAGAGCTTATTTTATTATTACTATCATTGGACTAAACGCCAGCCTTCAGCTGGCACGCCAGTTCACAAAGACAGCTGTTACTTTATGCAGGAGCTTTTGTAATGGTGCTACTGAGTTGTAAGTTTAATAATATAGTATTATTTTATTAAAACTGCCATTGTGCACAGCACCACCATCTTGGAAATGGACACTGAAAATAGGGCAGTTTTATTTTCTTACCAATTACCAGGCTTGATGTGGGGGAGCGACGGGGGGGGGAGGGGAGAATGATAGGACCAATGCCAATATTGTGAGATCATCTAGCATTACTAATTCTTTTCAAGCAATAGATTGTTATGAGAGGAAGTCAGCAGGCATAAATTTATTTCTTCCCTTAGCATGGAGTGCAATGGCCATTAAATCTGTCTTTGGTGAATTTCATTAAATCTGTCTTTGGTGAATTTCAACCCCTGGCCTTTACAATCCCAGAGAGACCTTTTCTTAGAATAGTTGGCTGCCAAAGGAAGCAGGCATTGGTGTAGATGGGAAGAGCCAATCTGTGACCTGATGGTTGATTCTGAAGTCTTGCTGTAGTAGTAATCATCAGATCTGGATTCTTTGAACGAGATTCTGCCACAGTAAACTGTAAATTTTTTGTATTATGAAAGAACTTATTTCAACCTATATTTTAAGAAAAAATATATTTTGTTAATGAACCAAACGTTTTTTTACTTTATAAATTGGATAAATGTAGTGTTGGGATATCAAGTGACAGAGATACTCACAAGGTTACAAATGTTTTAGAACAACGTGTTAACACTGCATAAACCATCCATTGTTTCTAAAAAGTGGGCTGTTTTGTGCTATTTAAAATGAAAATTAGGAGAAATGGCAAGTAACCATTGAGAGGAAAACAATCAAAGCAACATTGTCTCCAAAGCGAAGGAAATCCAGACTTTTTTGTATTTTGTTTTGTGATCCAGAGAGTATTCTCCAAAAGCAGCTCATTTGTACAGGGAGCAATAACACACGGGAAGAGAGCAAGAGCACGGAATCTGACTGGCAAGGGTTCTATTTCATCTCAGGGAGAGATTCTAGGTCAGAAATGTTTCAAGAGGCTGGTTTCATGATCTTGACTCTGCCCGAGCAGCCACATATATGCGCACAGGCCCTCCGAATTCAGCAGAACCGAAGCACTGCCAGAACCCATGGGAAGGAGGCTACGGAGGTGGGACTTTGCGCACTGACTTTTCCTCCACAGCCGGTCATTCGCATTCAAAAAAAGAGCACAATTAACAGCATTAGCAATACACAGGAATGGGCAAGACTCTGCTGCTGCACTCAGACGGGGTGGGTGCCTGCACCTTGGTTAGCGAAGATCCCGGTCAACCATTAAATACCACGGCCAGCCTCTCAGGAGCCAGAAGCAATTGTGGTTTTTGCAAGAGGAACAGATAACATTACACTTTGTATTGTCTATGAAAAGATGGAGGGACCTATCCAAGGATTTATAATGTTTTATGCAACAAAGCAACAAAAACTTCTAGTGTGGTGTTCCTACCTCAGTCTGTAGTAAATGATGCTTCTATGCAGTGGGGGGAAAGTTTTCATGTCGTAATTCTGCACTCCAGAGAAAGATACAAACGTTCACGTGTTAATTGTTGGTGGTGTTTCTCATGCCTCAAACCTGTCCAATTCTACCTGTAACTATTTCATGCAATACTTTTTTTTAATAGACAAGATGCAAACTTTGATGGGGACAAGTCATTCTTAGATAGCTGTTGACCCTAAACAATCCTGGGCCCAATTAAGGATACTTTTTCTTGTGCACTTCAGAATGCACTGGGGGACTAAGCTCTATTTCTGCCAAGGGTTTTATCCAACCCTTCGGCCTTCTGTTTCATGTTTCACTGCTCATTCGTTCCAAATCACAATTGTATGACTTGGGGGGGGGGGGATTTCCACAGGTTGCTGTATCAGAGAAAACAGACTCTGAATGAGGACTAACATGCTGCACGCTGAAGCAGGAAAAGGTCATTTACCTGAAAATGTGAAATTTTCATTTTCATAATATAGATGTTAATTCATGTGCCAAATACTATATGTCACATTTTTCCGTCAAAGATGTAAATTTTTCTACATATTCAGCCTGTAGTTAGTGCAAAACCATTGATTCCATATAGAAGTATTTTCAAATTTAAATAAATACTTAATTATGATGAAAAAAATGCCTTTTGAGCAATTTAATTGGGAAATTATTGTGTACAATAATTACTAAAAACATTTAAGTATGTTTAAGGGGCACTATAAAAGAAGCATGAATAACTAACATGGGGGGGGTTATACGATTGTTTATACCAACATACTTTTTAAAGATGTTTACGAACATGGGCCATCCCCCCCCACTGATTTGTAAGAGCCATTTTTCTGATCAGAGCATTTATAATTTCCAATCAACACTAGGAATAGACAATATAAATATGCCACTTGTATTAAAAATATCAAAATATGCTTTTTATTCATTCTTGAACACACATTTAAAGTTCTTATAACAAAATATCAGCATTTAACTTCTAAATGGGGTATTATCTATTGCACAGTTTGTGACACAGATTTATAAGCCTCTGTGATTGACACAAACAGTTTCTCACAACCTGTTCAAAAAGTTACAATCCCAAAATGACAAACCTGGGCCTTATTAATGTCCAACTTAGTAGCAATAGAGGACATCTTCAGATGTGTAATGCAACATATTTATTAGTCTGTAGCTGTCTGTGCCCTGAAGCGAAATAAGGAGTAACTAAACACCAAACCCTGATTTGTTTCTAGCATGCTTATCACTCTTTAAAGACGTGCAGGCGGCCACTGGAATTCCCACCCGCAACAATGTACCTGGTGGGGTGCCAGGAATTGATGGAACAAACAGAGTTAAGATAATCCTCACTCAGAAAGGAATGCAGCAGCTCTCCGGTGGCGTGAAAGGCCTGGATCTGCCTCGGCCGGATCATGCTCCCCACGACGAAGCAGTCGTCCCTTTTGGGGTCCCAAACTGCCCGGAACCTGGTCAGCCATCGACCGGTGTTGTTGTTATGCCTGTTCAGAAAAGGGAAAAGAGAAATGAATGCAGGGTTTGCTCACTTGCCCTTCAAATTCCTGAATGGCACTTGGATGCCATGACCTGTTCACTGTGGGAAATTTTGTTCATTTAGGCAATTTCATTCATTTCGTGACCGTTCAAAGTTACCATGGCACTGAAAAAAGTGACCTAGGGCCATTTTTCACATTTAGAACCACTGAGGTATCCCTATAGTCACGTGATAAAAATTTGGATGCTTGGCAACTGGCGTGTATCTATGACAGTTGCCGTATCCTGGGGTCATGTGATCCCCTTTTGTAACTGTGAATGGGGAAGCCAGATTCATTTGATAATCATAACTTAACAACTGCAGTGATTCACTTAACAATTGTGGGAAGGAAGGTCCTAAAATGGGTAAAACTCATTTAACTGTCTTGCTTAGCAATGGAAATTTTGGGCTCAACTGTGGTCCTAAGTCAAGGACTACCTACACCAAGTCAATCTCCTTGTCTTAACTTACCGAATAGTTGTGAGAATCGGAGCTAAAGATGATAAACACTGAGTTCCAAAGATCCTGTAAGGCAAAAATCAGAGTTTAGCCAAAGAACAAATCCCAGCCCTTGGACTAGGTTTTAAGGGAACTGAGACATTTAGAGGACCGCTGGTTTGAAAGAGGGGTCAAAGAGGCCATCTAGGTCAAAATTGGACATCCCTCTCTCAAGAGGAGGAGGAATCCGACATCATCTATCTCCTGTCTACAACACAGTCCTTTCAGCAGTTCCAAGAAGGCACCACACCCACTTGCACCACTCAGGTGATCCTGAAGACACAGGTAAACCTCCAGGTAGCTTTAACAACTCGCTAAAAGAATGCAAGTGAACAGCTGTCTGCAGGAGTATAAATCTTTCCATTCCCCACCATCCAGTCAGAGCTGACGAAGCTTCTTGGGCGAGAAGCAAAATGTCTTCAAAGAAAAACAAGAAAGTCCAGTTGCCTCGTGAAAAAGCATCTTTGGGATAACTATGACCTGGATGACTGAGAACCTCCATAGACCTTGATCTCTATGTAGGTGAGGATCCCCTTAAGATGGCTCATCCCAGTGCCTGAGTTTTCTGAGCATTTGGGAATCCCCTGATGGTTCAGCCTCCATCCTGCTTGATGTCAAAATAGTTTTCTAAGCTGCCAATCCCTGCTGGCTCCAGGTTTCTTGGAGCAGCTGAAGAGAGCAAAACAACACAGTGAGCAATCCTGGTAAAAAAAAGGGAACCCCACCACCGAGTGGTAGCACGTGCCCACGTGTGGGCCCCCATCGTGGCAACCGGTTCTTCTCCCCTTTTCCTTCAGCTGCAGATTCTATGCAAGCCCATCCAGAGACGTTTGGGAAGGAGGCGGCTGCCGCTGCCCGTCTCTCTTTCCTCTGCTCCCTTGGGGCAGATGCCACCTGGTCCCAGATGGGGGAAGTGAATTCGAGCACCTCTTGCCCTGTGAACCCCTACTTGGGCTTTCCTGTTCGTGGAATCTGATGGTCAATGGCAGAACCAGAACTGCTCGATTCCTCACAATATTTACAGTTAAGGGCCTAAAGGTATGTTTGTTGAGTCCTCTAGCATTTCGCCACCCCATCTTTCAACCGTGTTCTTCTGTCTCATCCCCCCAACAAGCTCCCTTTGTTCTGCACACGTTGCAAAGAAAAAAGAGAAACTGCTGCGAGGGCAAATCTGTCTCCAGCAATTTTCCTGGACTTTTTGTCCTGCTAAATAGAATATTTTGGTTGCAGAGAGTTGCAGGGGGAAAAAATTAGAAGGCAGACTCCCAAAAGCAAACTCTAATACAAAGCCAACTCACACATACCTCAGTGTATCGTCAGCACAAGTTGTCACTACTCTGTTTCCAGTCACAGGTGAAAAATAAGCCGAAGCAACACTCTTGGTGTGTCCACTGAGAGCCAGTACCGGCTGACCTCTGCTCTTCAGGTGCCGAGCATCATAAATACTGACGTTTCTGTAACAGCAGTGGAAACAGGGTATTTACCAGGATTGCACATTTTCTTCAAAGATCAGAAGACCCTGCATAGGGAATCACCTCCCATCACTCCTGGGCTGAGGGCTTTGGGATAAAGCCACAGGGCTGGGTACTCAGAACTGGAAGAGTGCAGAAAGGGTTCTGTATCCTGGGAACAAAGGACTACATCCAGAGTAAGTGACGCTGGAGACAGTCACCTTCGCTATGGATTACTGTAATTTGGAGTTGCCTTTGAAGACCACTCAAAAACTTCAGTTGGTGCCAAGTGCAGCAGCCCACAGGCTTGCTGGTTATGACCACGACACACTGCCACTGGGAGCAGCTACATGGGTGACTGCTACTCTTCTGAGTACAACCCACGTCTGGATGGGACCTAGGCCATGGCATCTATAAAGGTGCAGATAGTTCTTCTTAGGCGAGCAGCCACCTAGCGACTTACAACTTACAATGCCCCCCCCCAAAGCTTCTTACGGCCCAGTTCCAGAGTTTTGATGCTGTGCACACACCTACAGTCATGACTGCATTTCAGGCAGTTGGCAACCGGTTTTATGACCAATTGCAGCATTCCATGGTCACCTGACCATAATTTAAGTTTTTTTATGGTTTCCAGCTTTTTTAGCAAGTTCCTGATAAAAAACCGCCCACAAGAATTCCTAGCTTTGCTTGATGCCCATTCATTTGCTTAACAACTGCTGTTTAAGTAACTCTTATATTTAGACTACAGAAGAGAAAGAGGAGACAGGTTAGCCGTGCCTCCTTTTTGAAGGTCTACCACAGGGAGAAGGGTGTGGATTTATTTTTCAGCTCCAAAGACAGGTGTAAGCTTTACAGAGGGAGACCCAAACTTAAAATAAAGAGCAATTTCATGACAGCAAGAACTATTAAACAATGGAACAGTCCGTTTCCTGGAGTCAAGGAGGCCCATCACTGTTTTCAAGCAAAGGTTGGGCCACCATTCATTTGCATGAGATGCCTTGGAGATTCCTGCTCTGGCAGGGGCAGGACTAGAAGACCTCAAAGATTTTTTTCCATTCTATGATTCTGTCAGTTGTTCAATTATACTTCTGATTCTGTTTGCAATAGGTTCACATCGCCCTCCCCCACTGTGGGAACCTTCACACATTGTGCAAAAAGTGGGTTTTTCTGGGACATGGGGCTGGATTGTTACAGATAGTTTTTATTTTGAAACAGAGCAGAGGAGCAATAATTCTGTCCCCGCATATTTTCTTCTAGCAGGCCTTGAGCTGGGAGGGAGGAAAGGATCTTATGAGGGCCTAGCTTTGGAGCCTCGGCACTATTAATCCCATCAGCAGATAAACTTCTTGGTGCAACAATCACGCCCCAGGTAAGACACGAAACAAGTTCCAATAGCACTTGGACTTATACACTGCTTTACAGCCCTCTCTAAGCAGTTTACAACGTCAGCATCTTGCCCCCAACAATCATTTTACCGAGCTCAGAAGGATGAAAGGCCGAGTCAACCTTGAGCTGATGAGAATCAAACTGCTGAACTGCAGGCAGCCGGCAGGCAGCAGAAGTAGCCTGCAGTTCTGCATTCTAACCACTGTGCCACACACGGTAATTCTTTATTCATTACACAAAACATTTTTCTTTAGATTCTATTCTAAATCAAACGGGGGGCCCTTCCCTGTTGCTACCAGCCTAGCGCTTTTGCGTCTGTGTGGGAACCTACCTTTCCCCAGCAGCAACAAAGTACTGTCTACTGATAGGGTGAACGTGGACTGTCCTCGTCTTTGAATGAAGATCTACCGAGATCTCGGGGGATGGTACCGGCGTTCTCCGATCCACTATGGCTACCCTTCCATCCCACATTCCTACAACCAAAGTAGAGGCATTGCTTGCCAAGAAGTCAAATGAAGAAAGGCTGTGGCTCTCGTTTCGGTATATCTGTGAATGAAAAAGAGGCTTCCATTTAGACTATGCTTGAGGTATTATTCAGCCTGAGAAACTGACTTGATGCCTGCATTTCATAATAGCTTGAAATTAAACTTCCATCTATTTTCAAGGCTCACTTATAGCAATCAAACTTACTGTATACGGTTACTATAACAGCAGACAGGGGCCTGGGAATAGATTATCCACAAGGGTTGGGGTCTTTTCTAAACATGGCATGATAGGATTTCTAATATTATTTAATGGCTGAAATATTCACCTCCTCAAAAATTCTTTGGGTTACATCTCCAGATCGTAACGTGCCATCGTGACTGAGAGATAAAAGATGAGCAGGATTAACGGGAGAAAAGTGCAAACAGCTGACTGCCTGGCTATGGGGTATGAAGACGTGCGTTCCGTTTTCTAAACCGTAGTCCTGAAAAACACAAACCAGAGCAGCACCACAGTTACTGTCCTGCTTTTCACAATGAGCAGCAGAAATCATAGTAGGAAAAAGAGGAACATGCCCTCACACAGGGACATGAATGCTCTGCTCCAGCCAGAGAGCCCCATCCAGGCCCAAGGCAGGTACTTTCAAAAAGTGGGAATGTTTCACTTTTTTTGTTTCAGGTGAGCCAAAACAAAAAAGCCTTGTGAGAGCAGCATGCTTCTATTTTTCGCTCAGATCGTCTGTGGGGGCAGTGCATTCATCCTGGGGCTCCTTGATCTCCCAGGGGCTTTCAGAAACGTTTATCATGGTATTTTTAGGACCTTCTGTGGGGCTGGAGATTTGGGGTGCCACGTTACAGCAGTTCTCCTTTCTTTGGGGCCAGTTCCAGGTCATGCCTTCAGACTCTTACCTGTGGAGTACAGATAATCTTCAACTTGTAACTGGTAGTTTTTGAAATTTTGAGCCCAAAATTTCTGTTGCTAAGTAAGATGTTTGTTAAGTGAGCTTTGCCCCATTTTATGACCTTTCTTGCCATAGTTGCTAAGTGAATCACTGCAATTGTTAGTAACATGTTAAGTGACTCTGGCTTCCCACTGACTTTGCTTGTAAGAAGCAAAAGGTGATCGCATGACCCCACACACTCCAACCATAAGAAGATCTTCATAGATCACTCCATGAGGAAGTCATCACAGGCCTTGCAGCAGTTTCTGCCAGGCAGTGGGAAATGGGAAATGGAGGGCTGGCATCCAAGTCAAAAACCTGCCCTCAGCCACCTGCCCACTTAATCTTCCATTTATACCCCCCTCATATATCTCCCCATTCTACAGCCCCAGCAAGATGGCAGGAGCAATCTTCTACCCCCCAGAGAAAGCCATGATAGATGGGGCAGGCTAGAAAAGCAATGCCTTTCTAACCATACCCAAGCACTCCGAATTTGTTGGCAATGTCCATTTTGCTCTCCGAGTTCATGGTGATGTAAACCTAACCCTATAGCCCAGGGGTAGTCAACCTTGGCTCTTTTATGACTCGTGGACTTCAATTCCCAGAATTCCTGAGCCAGCTTAGCTGGCTCAGGAATTCTGGGAGTTGAAGTCCACGAGTCATAAAAGAGCCAAGGTTGACTACCCCTGCTATAGCCTCTTAAAGTTGCCAAGGTTGAGAAACACTGTCTTGGAACAAAGTTCAAACCTCTTTGCTTGGCTATCAAAATCTTGCCAAGTGAGAGGGAAATGGAGCAGTTTGAATAGCAGGAGGGCCACATCTGAGTTTCATTTCCTGGTTGACAATATTCACTTACCCCGCCAAAATGTACCTTGTTTCTCTAAACATTCAACTGTTTCTACCTAACATCAAAGCCTTACTTTATGCTACCTTGAAAGCATAATAAAACACTGCTGCAAAGACAATGAAACATGAAGTACTTACTAAATCCCAGAGGCCAATCTGCCCCCACTTGTCCCCAGCTGCCACCAGAGTTCGGCTTTCAGATGGATGGATAGCCACAGAATAAATCCGGCTTTTCACCACTTTTGCAACATGTTCTTCTCTGAGGACCATCCCACGGAGATGAATTTTGTAACTGGGCCAAAATAATGAATATGTTAGCTTAAACACAAAGCAAACAAATTTTTAAAAAGCAAGTTAGAATTAATTTCAGAGTTACCTTTCTAAGTTACATGAGCTTTTCTCGCTCTTCTTTCCTTCCACCTAATTAATGGTTGGAAAACAATGCAGAAATTATTTACATTGTGTGCAGGCTCTCTTTCAAACGTACTAGTGAATTCTACAAATACCTGGCTTATTTTTGCCCACGTTCTGAGAAACGTGTCAGTTTTTGGCTCCTGAACAGTAGCAACCATTGGATGAGGTCCAGGTGGCAATCGGGCCTTTCAAAAAAGAAAAAGATATATAAAACAGTTAATTGTGTTGTGTATTATCAGTGAGGTTCACAGAAAAAGCAGCAAGCAGAAACACACAGATTCTTACTCAGATTACTTTGCTTTGTTTGCACAATCCAAGTCACTTGAGCAAAGCTAAATTTAAGATGCAGTCAAAGCAACTACACGAGTCTCAGTGAGGCGGCAATGGAAATCCAAGACCATCCATTAGGATCGGAAGTCCCTGCACAGGGTAACCCTCAGTCAGAAAAGCTTTGCCAGCCAAAGTGCAGAAGCCCCTCATGCGTCTGAGTCACCCAGAGGGCCAAGCACAAGCGCATATTAACCTGCCACTCTCCCCTGTGAGCCTCTTACATGCTCCTCTTCCACAGGAGATTCCAACTTTGCTTCTGGCTCCGGGAGGGGAATGCCCAGTGGATCTATTCTCTGCAAACGCATGGATCTTCGACAAGTTGTCTTAGTTTCTGCCTTTGGAGACTTAACTCTACCAAGACAATACAAGTGCACCTCTAAATCTTGTGCTTCAAGAATACATTCACATCATGAAAACATTGGCTTATGCCCTATTGGTATTTTCAGTTACTTGCATTCTCGCTGAATTTTCTACTATCATTTCCTCCCTGTGACATTACACTGTGCTACAATCTGAAGATGAGAATTCAGTATGAACTTGGCTAGTTGAGGCTGGAGACCGAGAGCCCTGCAGCTCTTCCCCAACTGGCTAAGCAGATGAGTGTGGATCATTTCCACTGGGGTACAACACAGAGGGGGCTACCTCTGTGTCGTACCCCAGTGGTCCTGGGGTTCGACACATCCCATTTCTCCAAGGATGTGGTCCTCCCTGGAATGTGAATTATTTCCTCCAGCCAATATCCAGGACCATAAAGAAGAAAACAGCCTTAACATAGTATTGCTGATGCTGCTTAAAATATTCATTCACAATTCTTAAAGAATGGGATCTGTAGTAAAAATATGCATTTAAAAGATTCTTGGGACAGATCCATACTTTAGTGCTTCTTTCTAAATAACTCTTTTTTCTGGCTAGTCTACATGCATTTTTCACTGTGAGCTGCAGAGGGCAGGACAGCATTAAAAGAGCATTGAGTTGCAAGTGTCCAGGGAAGCCACCAGGCTCTGTCCCCTGGCAAGCAGAACTCAGGCTCAGCCCACAGAGACCTTGAATACACCCACCTTGAATACACCCAGTGAAAGGTACCCAAAGGTACCCACTTCCAATCTACTGAGAGTTTTCTCCCTCTGTGCCTGCCCTCCCCCCCACGTATTTTTGAGCTTCATTAAGCCACCTTTGGCCTTTTTCCTGTCCTCCAATTTTCCTCCCCCCCTCCCAGCTTTAAGAAATATCATGAGTGCTGCTTCCCAGTCATTTGTCCTGCTTTGGGTTCCTAACAGGCAGTTTCGTTTTTTTGAAATTTGGTATGTATATGAGTACATTCTGTTTAGTACATTCATGTGATCCACATCATTCTCTTGTAAGATAAGCATCATTATGCCAAGACATAAAAATAGCAGCGGGGGGAGGGGGGGAGAAGGGAAATGTGCCCTTTTCTCCTTCCCACCCATGTGATGCATGCTGTTCACTCCATCTTACCCCAGTCCATTCTTACTTCCACAGTCCTTACTGCTTCCCCTTTGAGGATCTCAGTAACTTCATGTAATGATCCTGACTTTCCCTTCCTCCCAACCTATTTGCTCTTCCTTCATATTTTGCAATTCATTCTCTCTTTAGGCAACTACCATCACCACAACATAGTTCTGCAGTGTTGATTATTCACTTTTGTATTCAGCCCATATCTCCCCAGCATGTCCTTACCCCAATCATAAACTGTTTTATATTTATCATTGAGATTTAAGTTCTGTATAAAATGCAGCCTTTTAAATTTAAGTTTTACTTAATTTTGGGTACCAGTTACCATTGGAAGGGCCACAGTCACCAGCCAACAAAAACATTTCCCATGGTGGGGATGTCTGGATTAATTTTCTGTTGGAATTGCTAGATACCTGGACCCTGCCATGGGTTAATGGACACACAATATACAGTTTTACCTCTTTATTCCTGGTGTCTTCCTTTTCAAGGTCATTTTATGAAGTCTGGCAGCTGACTTGAAGGAGAAAAAGAACAGAGAAGCATGAACTCTCAATGTTTCAACACATTGTTTTAAAACTAAGATGGCAAACTTTTGACACCGTGATGCGACTTATATGCTATGAAGAATATGCGGCCAAGGCGATGCCTCTTCCCCCAACGCGGCCCAGGCAGGCCGGGCAGCCCCGCACGACCCCCGGCCGGCTCTTTTAGCTCTAAGCCTGCTGAGATTTCGCAGACTCAAGCCAGCCCTAAACGTTAAGCCGTTCCCCCCCCCCCCCCCCCCCCCCCCCCCCCCCCCC